GCATCATTGTGCTTGTTCCATAAATAATACCCTGTCTTGAAAACTTGTACAAAGCAGTAAATAAAAGGTGAATATTGTGAATCCTATGATTAGTTGATCGAGCGTTAGAATTTGATGCGATGACAGTAATACAATAAAAATTGAAAAACTGGTAATAGAAGCTATGATGATGCTGAGGTATTTGCAAAATTACGGACGGCAGGTGTCTGCGGTGAGCATGGGACTCGCTATTGCCTTTTCCGGGTATTCGGCCAGTTTTCTATCTAACGCTGCCATCAGCAGCTGCATCAACACCACATTGTGATATCGACTACAGCATCAGCTTAAGTGGATCTAATGCCGATTTGTGTCTTCCTAGATCAATTCCATTGACGAGGCATCGTTAGGTAGGAAATTATCTGCGGAAAGGATAAAACGAAGGGCACGCATGGTGTGCTGGTGAACACGTTTTAGCCCACGAAAAGGCTGATAACGGCTTCGGTCCTCACTGCAGACATCTGCAGTCCGAAGTTTTGCAAATATCTTAGCGCTATTGTGGTTGTATTTCACATCATACTCTGCCGTGAAAAGTAGTAATAGGTAGTAAATAAAAAGTTGAACATTGAGATGCTTATGTGTTTATAATGTTGAGCTTACACGAGGTTGATAATGATGTTTATTCGGCTAATGTTTCGACGGCTTCGTCTTCATTAGAGCCGATAACCCGAGTCGATGGTCAACAGTTTTTCAGCCAACAGTTCTCGAGGTGGCGTCTTCGTTGCGTATCGAGCTGGATCAAGCTCAGTGGAGCATCCCTCTCGAAAGAGCCATACTCACCCGGCGATGCTTTTTTATACAGGGCGGTTGTTATCGATATTGTTATCCGTTGATAATAGCTTGTTCTTCAACGAATAATACACCCTGCAGCAGTCGGTATTGTGTGTCAGCTAGTAAGTGCATAGCGAGTAGCAAAACAGTAATTTTTAACCCGACCGTACTTTAACCTCGATAGCAAAATAATCAACATGTGTTTACAATGTTGAGCTTACGTTAGCCGAATGTATATCATTGTCAACCTCGTGTGAGCTCAACTTTATAAAGATGTTGATGATTTTACTACCGAGGTTAAAAGACGGTCGGTTTCAAAATTATTGAGATAATCTTAACCTTTTAATTTACTGCTTATTCTTTTCAATGGCAGGGTATGTTGCAATATATGACTTCTATAATGCTGAGATATTTGCAAAACTCCGGACCGCAGGTGTCTGCGGTGGGGAACGATCGCGCTGTTGTCCTTTCCGGAGAGTAACGCGGTCACCACTACACCATGCGGGTCCTTAGTCTCGCCCGTCTCAGCTAGTTCTATCGATTTGGGCTCCCCAGATCAATCCCGTTGACGGCTAATGCTGATTGCAAAAGATCCGCAGGGAGGAATGCCTCATTATCACGCGTGATAATGGGCAGTATATAAGCCTCTTATTTTGATAAGATGGGCACAACACGAATCCGCGTGAGCTCTGTGCGGTTGGTCTCCACGTAACATATTTAGTGGAAGCCTCATAGAAAGCGGTGAACGTGCAAAGACTTTGTGTTCAATGTGATTGAAATTTTGGTTCAGCATTTTCCCTGTTTGGTTATGGAGGTGCTTGGCCGTGTAGGTTGCAGTTTCCAGGCTCTGAGGAAGGCGAAAACCGCCGAAACGTCAGCTTCTACGTAAATAAAGAAATAAAATAACACCTCGTGTTTGGTGAACAGAAGTAGAAAGAATTATTCAATCAATGCCGAAGTTAATAGAAAGTCGGACGTGGAAGCTACTTACTCGGATTCTTCGACGGCCTGTCTACACTGGTTGTGAAGGCCCCAGCATAATTTCCATTTCTCAAATTTTTTCTAGTTTGACCGTCGTTGTTCCCCGGAGCACTGAGGTCAGCCTAGCCAAAATCTGCCGCAGGTCGTCATCACCACAAGCAGTCGCAACTCTTGTGGATCAGAGGGAGATTTGCCACCATGCGACTTGTTTGATACCAGAACGGTGGCGGATCCTGGTATTGGTTTACTCTTAGCTGGCCTTCCTGACAGAAGCGTCGGACTCCCTTTCAGCTTGTGATACCCTGCCAGGAAATGAATCCCCCTCCCTGTATACCGCAGTCCGATGCCCAGCAACACCTCCGAGCCATAATGAGGGGTAAACCATTGGGAGGAAACACTGCGATAGTATTACTATTTAAAAAAAAGGATGACTATTGTATGTGCAACCTTTACCTAGTCACTGCTTAACATTAAGTCTTCTTGCCAGTCATATCATTAATCAGCTATTTGTCATGCTGCAATAATGGGTGCAACAATAATGATATTGTCATCAATTATGACAAAATTTTATTATTATTATCCCCGTTATTATTACATAGTGGAAACGGGTAGCACAATGATAATGATGCCGATCATCAGGAGCATCGTCCTGGCTCGACCCTGCGCGAGGCTCAACCAGGACTCACTTTCTGTAATTCAAGTGAGAACGCTCCAGCATGGCCATCTCAGAACTCCAGGAAGAATCCACTCAGCCAGCATTCTACGACGTCAAAAATGAAGTGGAAATCCTGAAGGAACAGTCGAAGTCACAAATAAATGTTGGAAGACCTTCATAGATGGGTGGATGCGAGGAAACGAATCGTATGTGAAAAGTGCTGGAACCCAGCAGTAGATGTGAAAGACGGATCACGTAAAAAACAAAAAATAGTTACATGGCCTGCCACCACACCTACTTTGAGTACCCAGTACTTCTTCTATTCGACTATTTTTCTCGGATTCACTACCTACGAAGGCGTTCAAATTTTTATGCGTGTGGTTTCGGGTGCTGAATGCATCGTATTCGTCAGGAAGATCGTTGAAAGATGGTGAAGTCGATTCTCCCTGGGATTTTGAGATGGCCATACTAGGACGTTTTCACGTGGATTTGAGGGAGTGTGGTGATTCCTGTTCCTGGGTGTCGGGCGGCAATGTGTTGCGGGGAGACTCATTCCCCAGCAGGGCCTCCCAAGCTGAGAAAAGTCAGGTTTTTCATCATGAAGCCCAGCTGAGAGAAGACCAATAACCAAGATCCACCACTGTCCTGGTATCAAACAAGTCGCATTGGTGGCAAATCTCCCTCTGATCCACAAGAGTTGCGACTGCTTGTGATGGTGACGACCTGGAGCAGACCTTGGCCAGGCTGACCGACCTCGGGTCTCCTGGGAACCAATAATGGCTACGCCAGCAAAACTCCGAAGAGAATGGAAATTGTGCTGGGGCCCGCAAAACGAGTGAAGGCAGGCCATCCAAGTATCCAAGAAAGTCGAAAGACCGACTTCCTATGAACCTCGGCATAGATAGTTGATATATTTATTTATGGGATCTTATAAACTGATCTTCTTAAGCTGACGCGAGGTTGGTACAGATCTTCGTTGTCGTTGTCGTTGTTTTTGATGTTGTTGATCGATGGCTGACGTTTCGGCGACTTCGCCTTCCTCAGAGCCGTGATGTTACGTGCGGGACCGATGTTAATTTCGACTAAATGGCAATTTCCTTTCTTGATGATACACTATCTATTGTACCGTTAAGCATGCTCCAGTGATTAGTTCCATTAATAATAAAGGCTTGGTCATCTCATTTATGAAGAGCTCATTCAGTATGCTCAGTTATAAATGAATATCGCAATTAGCACAATTATAGGAATAGAGCACTGCTTTTTGCAAGCGCTAACATTTCCGCGTGGTTATGAGAAGTATGAAAAAAACCTGAACTTGAGATTTACGCGTAATGTGCAAACACGCAGAAACGCTCTTTACTTGCATGAATCTTCAGCTCTCTGCTAAATATGAAGAAAATGGATTGTACAACGTACACGCGTTCAAGCATATGTCATTATTAGTATATTCAGCTTGCGCGTATCATGCAATGATTGGAGATGTCCTGAAATATGGTCTTTGTTTCGACCCTGTTCTCAGGATAGATGAAATCCGCCGGTATTCCGAGAATGGCAGATTGGTGCCAGGCTTTTCAAGGAGGATAGCAGCACTGACGTGTTAGATTTGTAAGATCTGAGGCATTAAGCAGACTAACTTCGAATCCAGTAACCTCTACGGCGCTACGAATGGACTCCACTGTATAGAGTATAACCACAGGAGACTAATCATTGCAGAGGATCTTTTATGTTATACCTTTTAATGACGTTTTTAGATATTATTTCATTTTACTTTTTTCCTTCTCTTTTGTTTGAGATATGACACTTATTAGCGGAATGATATTAACTTTAATGAATGTTAATATCTCTACATCTATATCTCAGCACCACTGTGGTTGTATTTTACATCATACCCTGCCGTGAACAATTACAATAGGCAGCAAATAGACGGTTAACACTTAATCAATCTTTCCTAAGATCAACCCTCCATTAGTATGTCGTTCAGAGTTATGGCACTCATGAAATGTCGTCCGTTCCCACTGCATCCAGAGAATTACTCGTCGTTTCTCAACGACATTACTGGTTGACCAAAATTTTCCGTAGAACTCCGGGTTAGTCGTACCATTTCCAGGTGTTTTTAAGTAGCAACCGGCTATTGAATATCGGCAGGTGAATTGTTGGCTTTCGATTATGATTCTTCCAGGATGGCAACTATTTCCGCGATTAGACGACTGGTCGATTGAGAGTGATGTAGAAGGCCAAATTCCACTCACCAAAACAATCAAAAGATGTGAAGGCATGGGAGAAACATGCTTTTCTTATGACGATGAACCACTTCACATTCGAGAAACATCTATGACAGTGTAAAGAATTAATGCGTCAGAATTTTGTAAATGACACTCGTATCCGGAATCTCTCACCACCGTCTCTTTCGTAAGATATTTTATATTGCTACGAATTCTCATTTTCATAGAAATGGAAGCGAATTCACAACTCTGACATGGTTACGTCTAATCCTTCGCATTTGCCTTCCTTGAAATATCAAGCTTCCGCTTGACGACTGCATTGTTCGGCCTGAGGGCTACACTAAGTGGAAGCCTATTTCAAAATAAGCGAAGCGAATCATAATTTCTAATGCGGTCACATTTAATCCTTTACGCTTATTTTTACGATCATCAAGCACACTGCTGACGACAGCATTATTTGGTGCAACGGCTGCACCATCTTCGAGAAGATAAACAGACATCGTACAGCGTTGAGCACTAAATGATGTCCACTGGAGAATTTGTACCGCCTCAATGAGAACAGTCATCTAAGCGCTCGTTCGTTCCACAACCAATGTGTTTCCACTAATCGTTGTAAAGATGACGTACAATTTAGCTCACATGATTCTTAAACAATGAGGACATTGGAAATTAATATACGATTGAATGTCAGATAGAATTTTGACACCTCTGCGGTGGGATGACTTTCGTAATGAACTGGAAACTGACCCACAAGTTCAAGACCCCTCAGTAACGGTTGATAGCGCACAGAAACACGGGTTTTTCCCCCTCACGGTTTCCGTTACCACATAGTGGACGACATGGACGTATGGTGCTCACTTCAAGTTCAGTGGATTGTGGAATTTTTTTCGCCATACTATATAGTCATTCGATTCATAGACAGAAAGAAAGTTAATGTAGCAGGGGACTGACCAGACAAGTCAACCACTTGACATAATGATTTACAAAGAAAAAAAACATGCGCATTGACTGGTCATTTGACTAACAACTAACTGCTATTTTACATTGGTCGCTATGATGAATCATGCTTATTTCATGGAATGTGTGGGTATAACAAATACCGAAGCAGACATAGCATAAGTTGCAAAACACTGATAAATACTGAGAGTAATATGCAAGGGCGCGTGTGGCGCAGTGGTTGAAAGCGCCCTGCAGTACACATGGGATCGATTCCCGCGTCCCAGGCACACAAGGCCCTCCATTTCTACGGCGTCGACAAATTGGTATTAGACTTGTCTAGGTGGATAGCAGCACTGGCTCGATGCATCAGTAGCCCACCGCGAGTTATTCATTGTAAAGGTCAGATATGCATTGAATCACCTCCAAACCATGCTTAATGAAGTCGAATCCATGGCGCATCCCTAAAGGATTGATCAACAACGAAAGCTTTATCCTTTGCCCTTTTAATATGTCTGTATGATAAACAACAGTAACACACAGCAAATAGTAGCATATATACCACTTACAACCACTCTGTGTAGCGATAGAGCAAAGACGGGTATAAATTCCTGATGTTCTCAACCTGTCAAATGTTTTGATTCTCGAAATATTATCGCCTACTTTCGCAAAACCTTCGTAAAGAAACGAAACAAAGCGCCGTCACGAAAGGAAAAGTCGTTAAACATCGAGCGTCCGCTATGTATCGTGCAACAATTAGTCTTGAGACTTTGCATGAGACTACTTTACATTAGCAGTGACACTTTCTGTACTACCTTCTCCAACGATGTTTTCATCATAACGTTATGAAGCACAAAAAAACTCAAGCATTGGTCCACACCACTGGTCATTCCTATTGACGTGCACGAGATAAAAGAAAAATTCCAAAAAGAAAACTGCAGATTTTGCATGAGTTAAACATGAAAAAGACCAGTCAATAAATGAATCGGTTTTGTCATAGCAAGAAATTCAAGTTTTGAAAGCGTTAAAAGTTCGAACTAGGAATTGACTCCGTTTATGAACTTGGTTCCGTATTCGACTCCAATGATAGTAAAAATAGTGATATCTGAGAAAGAAGACCACCTCTATGATTTCCAGCTTTTTTAAGGCAGCACGGTTGCTCATTCGTCATGTACCGAGTTCTGCACGGGAATTCTTTTTCTTGCATAACCATTCAAGCTGAGTTCAACGTTTCCATCCAGGAATATAGCCATGAAGTGTATCTATCCCACGCCACAAACCTACGAACTCTGCGACTAGCTTCTCCCCAAAAGCAAAAATAAAGGGCCAAAACAACGGCCTAGAGAGCCGTTCCCTTCAGGAAAGGAGCTTTAAAAATATCCTCATTGAGGTTTAGAGATTCCTAGGTGCCCACCAGCAATTTAGACTTCGAACGTTCTCTCCTATTAGCAAAGTCAAGAATAAAGCCGAGAAAGGGCTTGACGTTTTCACCTAGAAGATGACTTTACAACGAAAAATGTCAATAAGTTCTGCAATTCTGAAAGGAACAAAGCCAGGGTTTGCTAGCGGCAACAACCTCGAAACACTCTAGCACTGACCTCCTGGAATTCAAAGAAAAAATCTTGCCAACTGGACAAAGTAGCAGTTAAGTAGAAAGCGACTTAGAAACCACACCGTTCTTCGCCAAGGAGAGCGATTTATGCAGTTAAACAAGTAAGAGAATGAACCAATTTAACAGCGATACATCATGTCTAAGAACTATGAATCTCATCACGCAAGAAAGAGAACCTGTAGAATAAAGTAACCAGATAACGATAGAAATCAATACAACTAACTCTTTTTAAGAATGCTTGTACTCTATTCCATTTTAGTCTCATTTCCTTCATGGAGATTACCTGAATGACTAAAACAAGTCCGCCATCTATTCTTTTGTTTACCATATCCCAGCGAAACCCTTTCGAGATCTCACATGTTTCCGCCACAATTTTAAATATTAAGCTTCATTTCCATCTTCGCTTGAAAAATAATTTTACAAAGAATAACAAACGGTTCACGAATATTACAAGAAAATGCAAATCAGGTTAAACCACTTTGCATCAGGCAAGTCTCGAATACATTTCCTAAGAACTGTAAGGACGCAAAAGTTCTTGAACACTGAGAAAGAAAGAACAGAAAAGGAAGAAAAGCCAAACCACTATCAAGCATTCGCTGGTGTAGCCGGCTTAGTGAAGTAGAGTTATGAGAAGCGCTTCTTTTGAGTTTCATTTAAAGGACGGCGTTCAAGCTTAGCCCGTTTACGATCTTCACGGCAGCTCTACTTCTACCGAGAGGCGCTTTTGACTTCGAGATGTCGAAAAAAAAATTGACAATAACTCCAGCTTCTTTAAATAACGAATGAGATCACGAAGGAATCTTCTGAGCACAACAAAACATACACGGAAATAGCAAGTGAAATTTCAGAGGAATAAATCAAACAATAAGCGAATCATTGTGGGACATGTACCACCTAGAAAACGTACTTCTATCTCCAACTAAGAACCCTCAGCTGGTAAATGCACGTGTATTCCTGTCCATGATTCGTCTTAAATGCCAGCTGCACTTGATCGCTTGAGACTGACATATTCTGGAATATGAATAGAACTAAAGCAGCCATAGTGTTAAAGAACTCCTTACCCTCATCTGACATATTTGGGCAGGTCCATCTTTTAAATTCGAAGGATATGTGCACTCGCCGAGGACAACTGACTCTCTGCATTCGTGATCTTTGCAGGCCTAGTATATAGAAATTTTACCCGGAAACTTATTCAAGGAAAGATAAAGATAAACTAAAAACGACATCACTAAAACTGAATGAATAACTGTTAGCTGATCCACATACGTTTACATAGTAAAATATGAGCATAATTTCGAGTTATTTGCATAAGATGAAAGAATACGTTCCTTGACGTCTCCATTACAGACGTCCAAGCCGGAGAGTTTGATTTCTAATGTAATTTCACCTCTTAAGCCTGCGGAGGGTGATCAGGAATACTGAACTGCGATGGACAACGAAAGTCCTTTCTTTTAGTGGTGTCCTCTAAGATGTGCAGGTTGGCATTTCCATCAGGAAACACAACTAACAATAAAGCTACACCGCGGCAAAACCGAGTGAGCACCTCCCAGCTACCTTTTCACAAAAATAAGCTTGAAAATGGCATCATACATAAACTAGAGTGCCCTACGTGTCTCTTCAGCTGAGTAGCTGCCGTGCGTGACTAGAATGGATGAAGTTTAATGATGATCCATACGTTTGACAATGACTTATGGACCTTTAGGCGACACTAACTTACTTGCCTGGATAGCTGGACGGTCCAACCTAACTGTTTGTGCGGGCCTCACCATATTCTTCACTTTTTGAAGTCTTGCTAGTTTAGCCAATGTGGTTCCCTGGGGTCCCGATAACATGATGGCCAAAGTGCCCCAGGTCGTCACAAACAAAGGCAGTCGCTCCTCTTGTGGATGAGAGCGATATTTGCCACCATGCAACTAGTTTGGTACCAGAACGGTGGTGGATCCTGGTACCGGTTTACTCTTAGCTAAACTTCCTGATGGGAAGGCCGGACTCCTTTCCAGCTTGCGAAACCTTGTTAAGGGGATGAATACCCCTCTGTATATCGCAGCTCAACACCTAGGCACGATGAGGCGGTGAACCGTTGGGAGGTAGCCGAAGTAACACAGGAAGTGAAGATTTATACAAAGAGAAGAAATTACTCACCATCACATCGTACTGCTTTGGAGCGCTAATTGGAACGTGGTTACGCCAATAATCGTGTTCGTATTCAACCGCTTCGATGGTTGTGTTTGACCAAAGACGAATCGTCAAATTACCTTCAGAACCAGCGAAACAGAATGCTTCAGATGGCATAATGTGAGTCCTCTCCTGGAAACGTAACAAAAAATTTGGTCAAAACGAATAAGCTCTCAACAATGAATACAAAAAATACGACGGTTAGACTTACTGTGATGGCGAAGTTGTACGTTTGCAGGCCAAAGACTGCGTCGACAAAAGTGTACAACAGAGATTCGGAAGTGACAGGCTTTGAAGTGAGATGTGGAACGACGGAAGCACCTCAATACCTCTTATGAATTGAGCAATCAGACCGTCCTCTAGAAAGAATAGGAAAGAAAGGTGGGATGCTCAAGTGAGATCCGCCATATACAGTCACCAGAATGCGGTTTGTGCCAAAGCCACGTAATTAGCAAATACTAAATAATCGAATGGATAGTAAAACTGACTTTTCAACGGCTAAGTAAAAACGAAAAAACAGGAGAAACCAAAGAAAACCTTCTGTTAAGATTTTGTGAGGACTTAGAATATAAGTGATACAGTGAAGTAAAGAACGAAACAATAAGCACATTTGGATCTCACCATGTGACCTACTGGCCAGATTCACTGCATGCCTTCTCGCCATCACACCTGCAGTCGACTCCAAGCATGATGACTTTGAGAACGTAAGACAAGAATTCGCATACTTCAGCATCTGCTCATTCGTTGCCGCAATTCGAGACTCGATATCGTTCAAGCGACTGCTTACTTCTGCCTCAACTCCTTTCAGCTGATTAGCAAAGTAGCTTCCAAAGGTTTTGGCGGCACCTTGTATGAGCCTTTCCTGCTCGCTTCTATACCGCTCAACCTCCGCGTGTAACTAAATGGATGAAACATACGACGAGCTAAGAGAATGTCAGAAATCACAGTAATGAAATTTGAAGTGTTCTTGTAAACACTGGCACACGGTTGAATCACCTTCTGCGTTTCACTACGGATTTCCGACAGTGAATTAAACATGACCTGCTCCAAGTTCTTAAGTTTTTCGTTGTACAGGAGCTGGAAAACAACTATATTAGTGCTCCCTAGCAAAAAGTTCTATTCGACAAACATGAACACTTCCAAGCTGAAAGAAAAATCACACGATGAAAAAGGTCGTACCTCCCACATCAGTCGCTTCTTCTCGAAGCTTCCCAAACGCGAATCGACGATTTCCATGGAATTGATTTCCTTATCAATACGAATCAGTCCACTCCTTGGTAATATATCAGCCCGCATCGCTTGAAAACATGAAAAAACGTTTCTGAGAAATAAGCAACACTTATCACTGAATATCTTCCTTAATTCACTTGTTCCCAAAATCGTCTTAATATATTTGAATAGGAAGCACACAGACCCTGGCTAAGTAAACCAGCGACGAACAGAATGATCACTGTGCCAATAAGGCTGTCTCGTGTAAGGAACCAAAAGTAGCGTGACCAAATCACAGAGATGTAGAAGGTCCTTGAAAGAACAAAAAGAAAAAACATGAAAAATGAAGGAAAAAAAACAACTCTGGTTCGAATGGCAAGTGAAATCTTCAAAAATCGGAGCATCCCCATATTACATAGGCCTTTTCGAATCAAGCACACGACAACAGTAGACTTGTTTTCCCAAAGCAAAGTAAAAATATAGTCAACAATCTGTGTTTAGACAATTACTGCTACCTCGAAATAACAACTGCTGTCATATACTGGTAAGAACCGTATCAATCAATACATTTGCGACAGCACAGGTTTCTCGACAACTGCCAACAAGCTTCTATGTAATAAGAGCATTTCTAGAATCGAGAATTTGACAGCATTAATGAAAGCAATTTTCCCTATCGCCACTAAGTTAATCCTAAACTTGAATAGAGCTGAAATGCTCACAGAGAAATCGAATTTCTAAGTCTTTCGACACAAACGTCGCAACAGTAAACTTAGTATGAAATGCTGAGATATTTGCAAAACTCCGGACCACAGTTGTATGCAGTGGGGAACGAACCATCCGGGTGGTGTGGTGGTGAAGTGCGCTGCGCCCCGGTAAGGACAAAAGCGCGTGCTCGTTCCCCACTGCATACACCTGTGGTCCGGAGTTTTGCAAATATCTCAGCATTTCATACGAGTTATATTTCGCAACATACCTTGCCATTAAGAAGAAAAAGGCAGTAAATAAAAGGGTTAAGATGGTAAACTTAGTTTTGCATCGTGGCAAAACTGGTTCTTCTTGGCAAAGTGCTAAACTGTAATGGTGTTCCATCGAAAACTACGAACTATATTTACTTAATGATGAGGAGCTGAATTAATTTTGAAAAGAAAAGCATGCACTGAAATAAATACGTTCAGGCGAACGTGAAAGAAAAACAAGGATTGTGCAAACATATATCAAACAACTGCATAAAAGAACATCTGCTTCCAGACGAAACCAAATGAGTACGAGAAAGTCCTTACAATTTCTCCCACTTCCAGCAGAAACGTTCCCAATTCGAAGGCTTCAGATGAGTAGTCGGAACTCGAACTTCCTGTTCATGACAAAGTTAGTTCTCTAACTGGGGTGACACACAGGAACAGAAAGAGGAAGAACATGTAGGAATTAAAAATGAAACCAATAACGTCTTCAACACCACTTACTTCGTACTTGGGCATAATGGTCCAGCAGCTACGCTCTTGATCTGAACGAACTGAAACAGGAAATCCTAGAGAACTCTCAAAACCGTGACATCAACGATGTCGCAGAAAGATCTTTACAAGTTCACGAAAAAAGCACTTAAGTGCCAATTATCATGAAGAACAAGGGAGCACCACATTAGCGAAAAGAACGTCATCGAAATGAGAGTAACAAGCATTTTTAACAAGAAACTCATAACATTCAGGTAAGAGAAGTTGTAGATGAACGATGATATTCTTAAAAGCCCCTGTGTTTACTGGTGGATTTGAGCCACTTTAAGGATAATTCCTCTTAAAAATGACGAGAACATAAGCCGTTTCGAAATTGAAGGTAGACGTTTCGAGCAACATAGTGAATAACGATGCCTCTGACTCACTAAGACTCAAATAAAACGTGATATTGAGGTTGCAAAACCTTATGATGAGTTCACGAAAGTTGAGGATTCCTAAACAACTCGAAATCTAGGCGCATAAGCTGCATGCATGTCGAACGACGACTCGATTAACGAGGAAAACAATTTAAGAAAGATAAACAAGACATCCGACCGAATCAGAACCCGGTTTTATAGTAACCCACACTTGATAAGTGGTTTTTGTATCAATGGAGCGAATTTTTTCCAACAGAGCAAGGAGTTAAGCAAGCAGTTAATCGAAACTGCCAGATGACACACTGCACTAAAAACTCATGCTTATTCCTTTTGTACTGCAATAGACGGCTATAAAGAAATAAGGAGACGATAACACTATCACACAGTGGGAAAACATAAGAACTCGTTCGGCGTCAACTTGGCTCTTATTCAGGCGCCGTGCATTCGACTCCATTCGTAACATTCCCAAGGTTGTTGAATGTATATCTGGTCCATACAATGACTTGCGACATCTTATCGATCTCAGTGTCTTTATCTTACCATACAGTGCGAGTTCGCTGACCGAGGGCTCGTAGCGCAGTGCGTAGAGGTGCACCGGAATACAAGCTTAGTCATGAGTTCGGTCGCGCGCCACAGACCAGTAAGCCCCTCAACTGTGCGGAATCAGTAGACTAGTACCATAAAATGATATTTGAATTGCAACAAGCCACTACAAATATGCGCTTCCGAATGGCAAACTCGGCTACCCATTCCACATGTTTTGAAGTCTCAGCGCTTCTCCAATGTATTTCGTCACCTCCAGACTCATTTGTGAGCTTCGACTGGGTCGATTTCGTGTGCTGTTCCCATTGCGATTCGCGGATCATCTGCGCTCATCGAGATAGCTGCTCGAGTGTGTTTTCACTGGAACACCGAAACAGCTGTGCTACAGTCCTCTGCTCGTTCCTGTGGATAGGAGTGAACTTAAAGCTTTTCAGGACCATGCGCTTTGAGGTCGACGTGGACGATCCTGCACCTTTTGAACCGTACATTTGGACTTCAATGCGCCTAATTCCCCTGGCTCATTTCGCTGCACACAGCCCCTCCCCAAACTTTGTTTAGTCAGTCGATAGCATGTCGAACAGAGATTTTATACTTGTGGTCAACCCACCCATGGATAGGCGCTCTCAATGCGCTACAGCTGCGGAAAGCCGTCTAGGACGATGCGACGGAATTGGTAGAAATAAAAAAACATGAAACAGACAAAGAAATGCACTTCTACTATTATAAAAAACCACTGGCAAACCTAAAAATACCGTGGTTCGATAACAGAAGCATCTCTTTTCATCGCACTGGAGAGTTAGACCACACAGAAAAGATGTCTAAGGATATGGAAGCATATACTAAAGAACGTAGACGCGGTTACGCAAAAGTTAGAGAGACACAGAAAATGTGCGAGGGAAACGAGTAGAAAACCACAACCTCAAGAAACCAGTGCCCCAAGCCTTTCGAGAAGGTCCAGGGACCGTCCACTTTGATTTCAACGCGCTCGTGAAGCGCGCTCCAATGACACGCTGCGCGACGCGTTAGCCGCGCGCGATTGGCCGCGAACGTCAAAGGTTGGTTTGATCTTTTGTATTGTGACGACTATTTAGTGGACGGGGTTGACCAGGATTGCTTTTCTTCCAGCATTTTCCCGTAGAGACATTACCTATTGTTCACATAAGACCGTTTGTAGTCAATCGATGGTTTGTCGAACACCGACTATACCGGGGCTGGTGCGTAGCTATTCTCAGCCGGGCTTACAAAAGCCATTTGAGGCGGTGGAGTGGGATCAGTGGATATAGGAAACTTGGAAGGGACATAGTAATACACTTCAGATACCATACAAAACCATGCGGAAAGCTAATAACATCATGGTTGGACAACAGGCGGATTCATTTCCCATCACAAACAAGATGGCTCTAAACATGGGATCATACATTGGAGAACATAGTGGGATCTGTAGTAGTAGGAAAGATATTGGAGAAAAGTGGAGGGACCGAAGAATAGAACGATAATCTCAAGAAACTAGTACATTGGGTCTCCTGTGCAAGCTCACGGACCGTAGATCTTCAATTCAATGCGGGTTCCGATTGCATTCAACTGGAACACGGTCGTGTAGTGGTTAACCTCGGCATTGATCAGTTATGCACTTTTTTCTTCATGAGCAGACATGAGCTCGTTGTTATATTACCTCTTTACGATAGATGGCGTTTTCTCCCAACGGCATTCCGCCTCATCATGGCGTGGAGGTGTTCCTGAGTGTTGTGCTGCGATGTACAGCGGAAGGATTTATCCCCACGGCAGGTCCTCCCAAGCTGAGAAGGAGTCCGGCGTTTCCATCAGAAAGCCCAGCTAGGAGTAAAGCAATACCAGGATGCATCCAACAACGTCCTAGTTTTAACTAGTCGCGTGGTGGCAAATCTCCTTTGGATCCACGAGGGCGGCGACTGCCTGTGGTGGTGACAACTTGGGGAAGACTTTGGCTAGGATGACCTCGGGACACCAAGGTACCACAGTGGTTAAGCCAGAAAACCTTCGAAAAAGTGGAAATCACGCTAGGACTCGCATAATCAGTGAAACGGGCCATCCATGTATCCAAGTAAAACGATGCTTCGGCGGTTTCGCTTCTTTCAGCGCCTAGAAAGGCGAAATCGACGCGGAGTCTACTCTGAGAAACACTTTCCTAACGTCAGCGGATGGAATCTAATATGTTATAATCACGATCTTAACCCTTTTATTTACTGCCTTTTCTTTTTAAAGGCAGGGTATGTTGCGAAGTATAACTCGTATATAATGCTGAGAGATTTGCAAAACTCCGGACCGCAGGTGTATGCGGTGGGGAACGAACGCGCGTTATTGTCCTTACCGGAGAGTAGCGCACTTCACCACCACATCATCCGGGTCCTTCGTTTTGCCTGTCTCTCAGCTAGTTCTCCAAATCGGCATCGAACCCAGTTAAGCTGAGGCTTAGTTATAATCACAATCTTAACCCTTTTATTTACTGCTTTTTTCTTGGGCGATTTGAGCTCCCCAGATCAATCCCGTTGACGGGTGATTGCTGATGGCAAAAGATCAATAGAACTAGCTGAGAGACAGGCAAAACGAAGGACCCGGATGGTGAAGTGCGCTACTCCCCGGTAAGGACAATAGCGCGCGTTCGTTCCCCACCGTATACACCTGCGGTCCGGAGCTTTACAAATATCTAATGCGTTAATTATCATACACATAGCAAACATCTCCTTTCGAAACACCTAACATTTTCTTCTCTGTAAGTCTTCCAGTTATCTGATGGAGAACAACCACATCACACAGTAATGAGTGAATATGCCTGGCTCGGGTCGAAAAATCAAATTTGGACCTGAGCCAGGCACATTCCTAAACCATGTAATACTCTGGGCGACACGTCTCCATAGAATGATCGTAAGATGGATACACGACAAGACGTTGAGAAGCTGCTTACTATAGGATGAAAAGCGAATAAAGCTCACGGCGTTGATAAATTCCTGAGGGATGCGCCATGGATTCGACCTCATTGAGCATCGCTTGAGGTGATTAAATGCACATCCGACCTACACAATAACTGGCAGTGAGCTACGATGCATCGACTCATCAGTACCTACCTCTAACCTTGAGTAGGTTACTATGCAAATAGAATTTGCATTGGGTTTTTTCTATTAGGTTGAGAAAGCATCTATATGAGTAAACTGCGCGTCATTTTAAGCATCCCGGGCTCTGAAAAAAGGCGAAGTCGGCTTCAGCGTTAGTCACTACCGAATATTGTCATGAGATTCTTGTGTTCATCAAGAAACCAGTAAATTGTTGATCAATGATAATGTTAACAAGAAGTTGGTTCTGTGAAGAGAATGAATAGTTCCAGGAGGAAAAAGTTTACCGGTAGAACCAATACTTCAACTCGGTGTGCCGCCAATTTCATATTCCATGGTGACATTGGTCCAAGACTTTAAAATCTTCGAATATTAAATGTCATGCTACATGTTCACCTATCGTTTAGTCACAGGAATCGCCTCCATGCTATAGTAATCCCAGTCAAATGGAGCAACAAGTGCCCATTGAGTGGATGTGGTGAAAACCTGAAGACGCATTAACAGTTACTTACTTGATACTTGATACTTGAACGGCCCGTCATCACTACTTGTGCGGCCCCCTGCATAGTCAACATTTCTCGGAGATTTGCTGGTTAAGCCATTGTGGTTCCTGGAATCCCGAGGACAGCCTGGCCAAGTCTGCCCCAGGTCGTCACCACGACAGGCGGTCGCGGCCTTTGTGGATCAGAGGGAGATTTACCACCATGCAAACTTTGAAACCAAGACGGTGCTGGATCCTGGTATTGGTTTACACCGGACTCATTCTCAGCTTGGGAGACTCTGCCAGAGGGACGAATCCCCGGCTGTACATCGCAGCCCGACACCCAGGAACACCTCCTAGCCACGATGAGGCGGTAAAGCGTTGGGAGGTAGCATAACAGTTAGATAAGCGTTGAAAGAATAATGACGGCAGACCAGCAACCAATATGTGAATGAGGATAGAAACCACAGATATTCGAACGCCAGTTGTATAAATACACCAATCCAACACCTTTCAAGTTACCAAACAACGAAACAAATGAAAGAAATGCTCGGCGTAGTATGTGGGATAAACTGTCCAAATTTCTAGTATTGGTCCTTCAAAAACTAAATCTCAGCCCGGAATGAGCGTTATTAATCGAAATGAGGACCACTGGAATCTGCACTTTTTTCTACGAAGAGCAACTTTATTTATACCAGTTGCATAAAACCTTGCACTTCAGAGGACGACAAAGTTGCTGAGGGTGTTTTGGCATCGCAGCCATTTCCAAAGAATTTCTCGAACAGGAAGTTGTCGACATTGTTGAAGAAGCGAGAGTCGGTAGGCGAAAGATTTGGGCAGTATGGCAGATGATGCAGAGTTTCGTAGCTCCGTTCGTTCAACTTCTGCCATGTCTGTAGAGTGACGTGTGGCATCGCGTAATCCTGGAGAATTATTGATGGCTTTCTATTGATCAGTTAGGTGCGCAGCCGTTGAAGGGCCTGTAGCACTTCGTCGACTTGCAGGATTAAGAAGATATAATGAACTAAACCAGCAGCAAAGGAGAAAGTGTTCTGTAAGGTCTTCTTTTGGCGCAATTTCGTCTAGGTGAATTCCTGTGGAGCTTCGTCGTGGTCCAAGCACTGGACTAATCGTGTTCAGTTAGCGTAGAGGATTCATTTTTCCGTTCTCCTCTCTTCACGAATTGGTCGAAGAACTGTTCGTTCTGGTTGGGCACAATCGCCGACAACACCTCAAAAAAGGTTATTTCTGTGATTGTCATTCAATTCCCGCGACATGCATTTGTCGAGCTTCTTCGACTTTCTTATTTTCTTTACATGTTTCGATAGAGCCAAGATGCTTGCATTGAGTTCTTCTGGAAGCTCTGGAAGAGTTGTGCGTGTATTTGCTTCTATAGAAGCCTTTAGTTCGTCGTCTTCGATAGCGGAAGGGTGTCTGCTGCCTCCCTCTTCTTCAGCGTCGAATTCGCCGCAACGAAATTTTTGGAATGAACGCTGCAATGAGTCTTCTTTAGCAAATTCATGGTTCCATTTGTACTCTAATTCAGTTATACAGAGCGGAGGTGGGCATCGTAAAAGGATGAAAGGATAAAGCTTTCAGCGTTGATCAATCCTTGAGGGATGAGCCACGCATTCGACTTCTTTAATCATCGTTTAGCGGTGATTGAAGATTGAGCGCATATCTGGTCTTTAAAGTGACTCGCGGTGTACTACCGATGCATCGAGCCAGTGCTGCTATCCTCCCAGACAGGTCTGGTAGCAATTTGCCGACCACGGAAGGATGGTAGGCTTGGTGGGCCATGGGCGAGGGGATCGATTCCACATGTGTTGCAGGGTGTCTCCGACCATTGTGCCACACTCGCACTTGGTGAGCATCGCAGTGATACATGATAGCACAAAAAAGAATAAACCATTGCTGCTAAAACACATACAATAAGAATTTGCAAATCTGACAATGACTTCGAAGCAACCTAGTAAATGTTTACGTACTACTTAGAATTGTTCTGCTGAAGCTTACCTAGCTGCTCTGCCTAGATTTCTACTCCTGCTACCAACGACAATGAACGAAATTCGCCACAATGAATCTTAGCAATCTTTTTGAGAGATTTTATATGCAGATCAGTTTTATATATAGATCAGCTACCTGTTTTTTCTTTCACCTTCAAAGCTCATTTTAACAAAGATTCCCATCCTCAGGCAACCCGCTCACAAGAAAACTACCGGTTTGCCAGCACCTCAGTCGCAAAATGCGACGTTTCAGTGTGGCTACAGGAATTTTGAAATTGCTGAATTCAAAAAACGAGGAAAAAACTAAGACCTTAATAAGTAACGAAAATCTTTACCTAAAGTAAGACATCACAGGATAACCATAAAAATTTATTTTAACATCGTAGTGTAAAAAAATAAGATTAAACATGAAGATAAATGACGAAGGCCGGAGGGAAACGATGTGGTGATAAATACATGAGCAAAATAAATATGATGACAAACGTAGGAGCAAAATAAAAGTGATCAAAAATGTATAACAAGAACAGGCTGGCTGGAAAATCTCCACAAAAACCTATTCAATATCACCCGTACATTTGAAAGCAGCTGGCTTTGAGTGACAGGTCCGTCCTTCTCATTATGGTGCAGCGAGATGTGCTCAGCTAACATTTCAGTGTTTTCCATATACAGAACCTTAAGACATACAAAGTTCTTCTCCTTTGTTTGACTAAACCACATGTTCTGTGGCAAAACAATTAGTGTTGCAACATCCTTATTATGACTAGTGGTAACGTAATTTGTTTTGAATTCTTCATTGCAGCACAAATAGGCATAAAAAGTGTGAAGTGTTATTAAAATGAAGAAGAAGAATTCTAACAAAACAGTGCCCTTGATCCACATCAGTTAAAGCATCGTGCCTACAAATAGAATAGATAATTTCTGGAAGACTGGTTGTGAAAAAGGGAAAGACCCCTTCATAAGAAAGAAACGTAGAGGCAGCGCTTTGCTTATGATGCACTGCTGTCTGGATGACGGTCCTCTTGTTTATCAGGAGAATGCGGATAATATATTTGTAAACCATGATGTTCGTTGAAGGCCAGGACTCCTTCGCGACACAGAACATGGTGGTAGAGCTGTCTGGAAGGAATAACAATAAGAAGAATTTAACTAACTGCATACTACGTCATACTACAACGCATTACTCCAAGAACCGATGAAACCTACTGTGAATATATACCATTCTACAATCTACAAACTTCTGTAAATCCTAAGGAATTGTTGTGGCTGAAGTATGCACTCACTTGAATCCACGCTTCATCTCCCTCGGTGTAGTGCCCGCAAAACCACCGCGAACGACACTGTCGAACATGTCTATAGTGTAGGACCTTGACAAAGCTTCAAATACACATACACCTTGCCAACAGAACTGATGAACTTGCCTTTGATGGCGATATACTGTAAAAGGTAGTAAATTATTATAGTTAGGATCACGTACTGTCACCAATGAATGTCATATCTACTTAACGGTCCAAAGAAATATCGAAAGCAGAAGTCAGCTATCTGTTGCGACCAGTGAAACGAAGACAAAATGGCCTAACTATTGTAATAATTACACACCCTCGATTCGAGGTCTTCTTCATGAGAACAAAACCGCACTTCTGAAAGCACAAAATAACTTTGCTTGAAAACATTTTGGTAGTTTAGGAAGCCGTAGAACTAAATATCAATTAGTTTGACTATTTTCAGCGGATATGGAATATAATTACAACGCATGTAGCACCGATTTTTAGCACTGCAGTACGCATAAACTTTGGAATGGGAAAAATAAAAGTTTAGTGATAACACGGATAGGTGAATTGCAAAGATTTAGTGAACTGAGACCATCTAAGAGGCTTTCTGAGACACTTGGCACTATGCAGATGGGTTGTAGGGTATAAAAACGCCATAACAAAAAAAAGAAGTAGTGTAGCTTTTTCTAAAAGTCAGGTGAAAGCTTCAAACAAATTGCTCTCGCAATTCACAAAGCAAATCCTACGCTTGAGATGCTCTATACTCTTTCACGTTTGCTTTAGAGGTCTCTTCTTATATTACTCAAACGCGTATGGCATCTATCAAACGAAATAAACGCAATGCGATCACCGATTTTAAGAAACCACTTAAATTCGGTGTCCATGAACGGGACACCGCTGAACGGAAACCATATCGACACGGCACAGTTGGAAGGAAGATCGGTGGAAGACTACTTCGAGAAAAAGAAAGAAAAGAAATACGAAGAGGGCAATGAAGCAATGAAGTCACCTGTAGGGACCGCGGCTTCGGCCGTCACTGTCACATCACAGTTTCGCTGAAACTAATAACGATATTTGTTCTATTAATTGCAAGTGTACATACAAAATAACAAAGGTGAAAGAGGTGCCAAACTAATTCTATTCGGATGGTGAGCATTCGCGAGATGACGAAATCTTTCATTTGTTTCGCTCTTAAAAATATGCAGATCATATAAATGACGATGACTATATTTTAATCTACCAAAACAAATATTCACCGACCTGTGCTAACGAGACGACAACTAAGTTTTCTGGTTGCTTGGAGCCCTAGGAGTCCACTTTCAACGTGTTGGTGTGGGTACTAAGGCATTAAAAGAAATGTCCTTGAGACACGACAGAGAACGCATAATAGAACGGCCCTACTAAAACAAATCTGATCCAGGAATGGACGAACTTAACGAATTAGTTCTCCCATCCCGACATAACATGCAAATTTCAGCACTGGACCAAAGACCGCAAGAAACGAAATTTAGTAGTAAATCAAACCATTTAGTCATTTCGTATCAAGGCTAATCAGCGTTGTTCCCCATCTTTTGCTAGGTACTTAACTCTACAAATGAGATGAGACCAACTAAACTTTAGGAAATATCTTCCACATATTTACAAAAGTGAAAAGTCAATTGTTAGGGTTGCAAAGATGATTTCGAAGCTAAAAAAATGGTTCATAGTATACTGGGTCATAATATTTTGTCAAAAATTACATCTACCTCCAATCTTGACCTTTGTCGACTATCAAAAGCCGTTTGACACGACGAAACGAATGCAATACTGTTAGTCTTAGTCGACCAAGGAGTAGACAGGTCGCAACAAAGAACCCGGTCTAACTATTATCGGAACTGTTCCATGAAAATACGGCTTCTCCATCGACCGCTCACCATACCCACCCAGTCCATGTAAAACCCACGATCGAAAGAGAAGATATCACACCTAATGGTTCTCTGCTTGCAGAGACCACTTCGTGTGCGTACCTTAGGCGTCCAATGAACATGTATAACGACATGAAGGAGGAGTAAAACAGGAGAGCGAAAGCAGCTTGGGGTGCATTCGGACCTCTAAAAGAAGCCAGCGACCATTTGAAGGACCTGAAAATCCGCACTCACGTTTTCTACTAAACAGCCGTCCTAGCGCTCTGTTATGCAGCAAAGACGTGGGCTGATACATCAAAGACGCCAAGAATACTGCACACCAACCACAGAGCGCTTGAAAAACGCCTTCTAAAACATAACCGGCACTCACAACGTCTATCCGGAATTCTCAGCTCAGATCTATAAAATCTATCCCTTCTTCGGGATCCAGGAGAATATCGCGTAATAAGACCAGATGACGGGTGGACAAAATAACAGCAGAGTGGACTTCTTGGGACGCAGAAGTACTTTAGCACGACCACCCTCACGTTGGGCTGACGTGTTTGCAACTAACTATCAACGTGCTGCATTAGCAGCTACAGTTCTTTTGCAGAACACGGTACAACACTCGCACCCGCCACCATTCTCGAACCATACAAGCACCAAGGATGATCATTATGAGGGAAGGATACGAATGGAAAATGTGCTGCGGCCCGTACAACTCGTGTATATGATACCTAAAGACTCAAATAAACACTATAAATTTTTTTTCAAACAAGAAACTACTTATCGAAAATTTAACAGCAAAGTGCAGGCATTTTAGCAACAAGATCGCTTGCTATGAATTCTTCGACATTATGCCACTGACCACCTTCTATTGAAACAAAAATGGTGTGGTGGAACTCTAGCTAAAACGAATAGAGTTTAATGATACCCCATGCGTCAGCCGATGACTTATGCACCTGTAGGTGACACAGGAAGTGAAAACTTTAGAACGAGAAGGAATTACTCACCATCACCTAGTACTGTTTTGGAGCGCTAATTGGCATACGGTTACGCCAATAGTCATGTTCGCATTCAAGCCTTTCAATGGTTATGCTGGACCACAGGTGATTCATCAAATTACTTAGAAACCAGCGAAATAAAACGCCTCCGATGACATACTGTAAGTCCTCTCCTGAGAACGTGACAATAAATTTGCTGAAAAACAAATAAGCCTCTAATAATAAATACAAAAATCACGACAGTCAGATTTACTGTGATCGGGAAGTTGTATGTTTGTAGGCCAAAGAGTGAGTCGGCAAAACTATACAACAGAGATTCCGAAGTGACGGCTCTTGAAATGAGGCGTGAAACCATGAAAGCGCCTCAATACCTATTACAAGTTAAGCAATCAGACCATCCTCTAGAAAGAATAAGAGAAAAAGGTGGAATGCTCAAGTGAGATCTGCATATACAGTCACCAAAATGTGGTTTGTGCCGAAGCCGTTATATTACGCAATTAGCAAATGCTAAATAATAGAATAGATAGTAGAATAAACATTTCAACGATTAAAGAACCAAAAGAAAAATAGGGGACACCAACAAAAAAATCTTAGCACTAAGAATTTGTGAGGGCTTAGAATGTAAGTGGTGTTGTGAACCAAAGAACGGAAAGGTAAGCATACCTGGATCTTACCATGTGGCGTGCTAGCCAAATTTACTGCATATCTTCTTCCCATCATACCTGCAGTCGCTTCGAAGCTCGCTTCAGCATCTGCTCATTCGTTGCCGCAATCCGAGACTTGATGTCATTCAAGCGACTGCTGACTTCTCCCTCACTCCTTTCAGCTGACTAGCCAAGAAGCTTCTAGAGGTTTCAACGGCCCCTTAAATGACTCTTTCCTGCTCTCTTCTATACTGCTTCACCTCCGCGTGTAACTAAATGGATACCATGCACGAAGCAAGGTCATATTAGAAACCACAGTAATAAGCGTGAAAGGGTCCTTGTAAAGGTGGGCACATGGGTGAAACCACCTTCTATATTTCACTACAAATTTCCGACAGTGACTCAAACATTACCCGATCCAACTGAGTTTTTCGTTGTACAGGAGCTGGAAGACAACTATTTATATGTTTCCCAGCAAAAACTTCTATGAGACAAACATGGATACTTTCACGCTGAATGAAAAACCACACGATGAATAAAATAGTACCTTCCTCGTAAGGCGCTCTTTCTCGAAGCTTTCCAAACACGAATCCACGATTTCTAGACCGCGTCGATTGAAAATGTGCATGTGACAGAAACCTTTGCGAGAAATGACCAAACACTTACCACTCACTATCCTTCTTAATTCACTTTTCCTAACAGTCTTCATACATTTGAATAGGAAGCATAAAGACCGTGGCTAAACAGGGCCGCGACGAACAGAACGACCACTACTCCAGTGACATTGGAATATGTAAGGAACCAAAATTGCGCGAGCAAGTCAGAGAGAAGTAGACGGTCCTTGAAAGAGGAAAGAGAAAAAACATTAAAAAATAAACCTTTAACCGAACAGACCAAAACAATGCACTTGTTTTCCCAGGGCAGAGTGAAAATAACATCAAGAATATGTGTTTAGACAGCTACTGCTATCTCGAAATCACAACTGCTCTCATATGCCGGTGAGAACCGTATCTATCAATACATTTGCGACAGTACGGGTTTCTCCACAACTGCCAATAAGCTTTTATGTAATTGGAAAACCCCTAGAAGCGAGTTTAACGGCCTTAACGAATGCAATTAGCGCTCTCGCTAATTGGTCCTGAAGTTGATTGGAGTTAAAATGATCGGAAAAATTTCGAATTTCTAGATCTCTCGACACAAATGTGGCGAGAGCAAACTTGGTTTTCCGTCATGGCAAAGTTGGTTCCTCGTGGCAAAAGTGGTGGACGTAATTGGCATACCTTCAAGAAAGTTGACTATGAACTATAGATGTTTGATGTTGAGGAGCTAAACTTTTTTTGAAGGAGAAGTATCTATTGAAATCAATACGCAGAGGGAAACGTGTTTAAAAAACAAGGAAGGACAGTACAAACCCAGATAAAATTACTATAGAGAAGAACCACTCCTTCTACACAAAAACAAACGAGCACGAGAAGGCCCTCAAAGTTTCTTCCACTTCCAACAGGATCACTTCCAATTTGATGGCTTCAGATGAATGGCCGGAACACCA